AGATGAGGTTCATGTATAAAGGCGATTCAATTCCAGTTGCATCTATATTTGTAATTCTTATTTATTTTAATCAATTCTTTGAAAAAAATGTGATGAAGTGAACATGCAGTTAAACTCTCAATGCCATTATCGCTGATGACTGCAACATTGTAATGCAGTAATACAGCAGAGGAACATGTAATCCAAAGTTCAAGATGTTAATATTTATAGTTACTCATTTTCCTTCTGTTTTGATTTATTCAGATTAATGTGTCAATTTGTAGAATGTTTAAAAAAATTTGTAGCAAGTAAGCTGAATGGAATTTATCTTTAAAATATTGGAGTTTATCCCCTTTTGACTCTGGATATATTTAAGAGCATCGAATTTCTATCAGCTATTAGTAACAAGTCATTAATAGACATTGCAGCCCATCCCATATCCATAAGCAATTAACTTTTCCTGCTCAACTATTATTCTAAACTTTTCACTGATGGATTTAGCGGTATTAAATTGTCACGAAAAGCAGTGACGATGGAAGAAGAAAAAAAATTCTAAAATTAACAAAAGAATTTCCCCCCTCGTGAGACTTACTCTACTTATGATTACTGAAAGAAATCCATCAGTTTTGATTTATGATCCGTAGAGTTAGTATAGACAAATGACAACAACTTATAGTTCATAACGTTTATGCCACTTCGGTTCCTTCCTCCTCCGGATATAAAATCTCATCGTTTCGCCTTTCCTCAAAGCCGAGAAAAAAAAACATTCATTTTCATTTAGGAATTACATTACAAAAAACCCAGTATTTAAAATGGGCATGGCACTGAAAAAAAAACAGTTTTTCATCATCATTTTCATAATAATTTTTTTGCTTATACGGACTGTAGACAGATTCGTCTTTCCTCGACTCACGAAATGTCTTGTCATATTACTGCATTATGTAGGAGGAAGAAGAATTGAATGATATTTATACAAAAGAGCATGTATGATGGAAAAATGATGAAGGAAAGGAGAGAGAAGAAGACTTGAAGGGCAGGAAATAATGAATTTGGATTTTTTTTTTCATACACTGATGGAAATTCGCAACGTAACATTTGCTGATTGGGGAAAAGAAGGCAAATGGAAACTTTTATGAAGATTGAAGGTTTTCGATGTGTGTGCCAATGGATTGAGATTGAGTTTTGTATGTCTTGAGGATAATTGAAAGGATTAATGGATTGTTCGCAAAACTATGAACAACAAGTACAATGTAGAGTAGGGGCCTAGTGTGATAGTTCCTTAAACTCATTTATTACACTGACACAGCACCTCAATTTAAGACTTTGACATTTTAAACTATAGTTTCCGGTTCATTTGTCTAGAGCAACATAATCTCTTGCCTACCACGCGGTCTAAGATGGTGTTCAATTTTTGATCATCACATAAAGTCACCAAAGATTACTGATTGATTGACAGTAAAGTTAAAATTGATAGAATAGTAACATGATGTTTCTACTTGTGTGCGACATGATGTCAACTTGACATGGCAACCATGTGGAGGGATAAAGTTGGTGAAAGTGCAGCACCACGTTGCTCCCTTAAACCTTACAGTAATTTTTCAAATTCATAATAATTATCAAGTCTAGGCATCAATACAACCATGCAATTTACCGGCCGGCAAATAAAATATCCCCAACAAAATCATCAATTGCCAAATCTCGAACTGACTTTTCACAAATTCCCGTTTATTTATTTTGCAACTTTGTCTTCTTGTTACTTTATCCTTCCCCAAAATACGAAAATGTAAGCAAAAATCTAAATATAAAATCTATCAGAGTCGTCAGACAAGTGAAAAAAAGATTTTATCCACATGTCATCTGTGTCTACGCAACTAGAACATTTTTTTTGCATCATAAAAACCATTAAAATCACACTGCGGTGTTACATGAGTATGCATCATTTATAAAGAAAATTCAAGCACTTTCATCTTTCTTTTTATGCAGCACTTACTAGTTTTAATGTTCCCTTGATTATCAGCCCGTTCTTTTGCGTACAGCTTATATCAAGGCAATCACTTAACGATGGTTCTTTAATTGAAAATTTTAATCGAACGAAATTCGCTTGAATTCTTAATTGAACCATGATTTTTATTTTTATTTTCTTCACTGAATCGAAATCTCGCGAACCGAAAATTCTTCTTGTTATCGACAATAAATGTGTTTTCTTGCCGGTTGATAAAAAATTCACTCTAATTTTATTGTCGTATGTCTAGCTTCGATCACCCACAAAATGTAACTGAAGTTCTCAAAAAGAAATTTCCTTTTAATTTTCTAAGAAGATGGAAAATGCAGTCAAGAAGAAAAGAAGACGAGACAACGATACAATGACTTATCTTACAGGCATCTTATAACACAACGTACATGGATGAAAATTTCATGTAGCATTCGGGGGTTTGCTGAATAAATTTTTCATTCCTAATGATCTTTTTTTTTCATCTTCTTTGCTTTTCCTCATTTAGAATGTGGCACTGACATAATGGAAATAGAATAAAAAGAATGCATTTTATGAGGTTGCTCGCTATTCATACGATACATAGCTCTCGACAGAAATTTTGCCGACATCACAAATCACAAATCTGCAGACGCATGCCATTGAATTACATTTGCAACTGTCGCTATAGTACTGAAATGTGCATGCTCTTAGGAAAAAAAAGTTGTTTTTAGATATTTCTAGCTTATTGAAATATTTTTTCCTCATTCTTTTTGCGATTATAAAAATAATTTAAAAGGATGAAAAAAATTGGAATTTTAGTAGAATGCAATGTTGACAAAAATGCTTATAGTATCATTTTACAATGTATTGTAGGTTGTTATGCTTTGTTCTCGTACATTGTAACGTATCTATTTATTGAAGTTTGCTAGTAAAAGATTGGCAATTATGTTCTTGGGGTTTCAACATTACTTAAAGGGATTCTGAATCATAAAAAGTTATCTGTGAATTTTCCTGCAATGGAATCCTGCAAGTCCGTTAAATTGTAAATAAAAGTTTGGTTCTGATAAATTTGCAACAGTTTCAATTTGATAACAAATTGATGTAAAGAATCAATTATTACTTCCTCTCATCACTTAAGCATCAATAAAAGGAAATATTGATCAATATTAAATTTCATTTCCTCACATTCCTACAAACATCCATCAATCTTCTTCATTGACATAAATATGTAATCTCACAAATTCTTTTTCCAACAAAAACTTTATGATAAGTTCATCATAACTCAATAAACTCAAGCTAAGAACATTAAACAACAATTAGTGTAACATTAGATTGAACATTCTTAATATGTATTCATTTCGATCTTCATCCCTCTTCGTCTATAGCGAAGCTGAAGATAATAAATGACATTTTCATTTCTCTCATTTCCATTCCCTCTTGTGCTGCTACACTTTTGTTTGAAGTATCAATTTTATTGGTTTATTTTTAAGGTAAACATTGATGTTTATTGATTTTCATACACATATGCGCATGAAATAATTTCATTTGTAATGTAAAAGAAGAAAAAAAAATCCGAGAAGAGTATCCTATGAAAGGAAATACTAATCGATATGACATGATCGTGACCTCTAAAAAAAGAAGAAATTACGGTAAACAGCATGAAGTAATAAAAATTCATTCTATTATTGGACTCAGTATCAATTACACAACTTTGAATTAAGCAATAGTTTATTTTAAAAGTTTTTCTCGCTTTTAACAAACGAGAACGATTCTCACGCTCATGTCTTAAAGAAGTGATTACGATCTCATTAAGTCTGATGGATGATAAACTTTAGAACTTTTTTTTCTCACTTTATTCTTGATGTATGTCATGTATTGTTGCTCTTTTAAAGTTTAACTTAAGAGTGTGCCGGTAATAAGTTGATTGCTAGTGCTTTTGGCTCTGTAATGACTATTTTGTTTAACTTTTTGACTCTATTGAGCTGAGTTTATCTTAACTGCAAAGGGATCGTTTAAATGACATCCAAAATTAACAGTTATTTTTCAAAAAGAAAACAATGGATTTCCAGGAATTTCTATTGTTCTTTTCTTGCTGACCTCCACCCTCCTATACGTCATTAGTGAACGGACCTAAGATCTTTTGAATTCTTAATCAATTTTCAAAGTTTGAAATCTGGATTTTTCAATAAAATCAAAATAATCCATTCCCTGCTTTCATTCAATTAACTAAGCAACGAGCATTTAAGCCCGTAAACTAAGATCCAACAAGAATCTTTCTATTTGCAAATCCCAATGTCAATTAGCACACCCTCTGAATTTAAGCAAAATAATGAACAAAAGTACAAAATAAAAAAATCTAAACTATTGTTCCGACTTGCACAATGTAAACAGAAAGAGAAGCGACAGGCATGAGAGTAAGACGAAAGATTTGTTTTCGGAAGAATTTATTTGATTTTTATTTTCAGTAAAAACATACATTGGTGCGAGCGTTGACCAGTTTTTACCTATTTATTTTCGTAGATTATTATGAGAATCACGCACGTCGAGTAACAACTTTTGTTTCTTTCTCATTTCTATAGACGAGAAAAAATAAAATGAGTAACAATGAAAATGAACGGAAGAATATATATATATATAAGCTGAATGCTTTCTTTATGCTCATTTCATAAATTTAAATATTATGTAGATGGAGTCATAGATGAAATATTAGATATGGAATAAATTTCTCATTCTCTTAATATTGTTTTTATTTATTCGGAGAGTTTTTCAGCATGTTTAAAGAGTTTATTTTGGCTTTTGTGACTACTTTGACTGCAATTGAACTAGATTGTCATTAGTTTTGGCTGGAAAACCTTAATCAATATCATAATGTGCACAGTTGTGTCTATATTAATGACTATGTATCAGTTTCATTCTGAGCTATAGCCTATAGGAAACAGCTAAGATGGATTACTGACCATAATTTTGATACAAATTCAGATTTTTTGTTCAAATTTTTAAACCAAAATAACGATTTGGATATTCGTCTAATCACTGAACGATTATAAAACTAGTTTCTACCATTCCCGACTGTCATTAGTAATCCACCCTAAAGAGTTATTAGTTGAAAGCGTTTTATGTCAAATTTTCATCGACATTATTACTAGTTTTTATTGCTTTAGGGTTCTCAAAAAAGCACAGTTAATAAGTATTATCTAAAACGACCGATTATGCGATAGAAAAAGATTCACAATTTTGAATAAATTGAAAGAAAAGTAGTAGAAAGAATAGAGTATAATAATTAGGTGTGTGTATGCTAATTAATTAAAACTTGAATGGGAAAAAAATTAAAGACCGCATTGTGCTTGTAGAATCGTTAATTGAGCATAAAAGCTTACCTCCTTAGCAATTTGATCTAATGCTTGATCCTCGGCAGAAACTTTTGTGGTTCCACGACGCCTACCAATAGCGCCGGGACTATCCATTTTGATTTTTTATGGATGTACTTGATTTTATCACTGGAATTATCTTTTATGACAGTCAATTATCACAGTATACAGGATGTAAACACAAAATCACACCTTTTCGTGTAACGAAAAGATTTAGTTGTACAATCACTGGGATATAAACACACAATATACTATTAACTTTTACGACGAAAAATTATGTCAATTAGCAATTTCTGTTTACTTCTTCTTTCTCTTTACTTCTCACTCACTCACTTGCTCTTTTTTAAAAAAAAAAAATATGGACTTATCCAAATTTGGTAAACGAGTTGAAAAAAAAATATGTGAATAACAATTGCTGGGATTATCTATACACTGGCGATTATTACAAAAAACATGTACACACATTCACAATTAATTGTATGATCTTTAGAGGATTGCTCCGGGTCGATTCATGTGAGATTTTTTTTTTATATTATTTTACTTATTTTTTTCTTAAAAACACAAACTACATAAGATACTCGCTTTATAAACTCTTTTTTTTAACAGAAGGTGTTGGGGTATTGAATTGAAGTCTCAGAGCTAAAAAGAGACGAGAAAAGAAGAATTATTAAATAATATTTTGCGCTACTTATTATGGAATGCAAGTGCGGACAATCCTCACAAAAAAAAGAGTTTCATTTGTGCTGTTCCTTCATGGTTGATGATTATTTTAACATAGACTGAAGAATGAATGAGAAGAGATGAGGGGAAAGAGGTGTAAGAGGAGAGTCGAATAATAAAAAGCAATAATTGTATAACAAAGTATTTCTGTTTCCACTTCATACATGAGTAAAACCGATCTTTTTTTTTTCGCTGGAATTTATGATCAGCTAATTGAATTAAGATTTGCACCATGCACGTATAATGAAAGTTCAACGAGAAATTATATTTTTTTTTTCAACTATTTATCGATACAAATTGTTGAACTATATAATTCATATGTACACTTAGTGTGAGCCTTTTTTATGTAAAGAAATGTAAATTTACACATTGTTATATTTATAGCAAGTGCCTTTATCATTTGCAGTGCGTTCACACAATTTAAATACTCGTTTACCATGAGTATAGTGCGGTGTGTGATAATAAAACAAAAACAATTTTTTTTTATATTTAAAACTTTTTTCTTTCTCCTCACACAATGCACAATCGCCTGTTCTCATCGACATTAAAAAATTAAACATCTTTTTCGGGTCGATGATTAGTGAAAATTGGGCAATTATAGTGAATGGTTCAATGATTTTTTTGTGGGACTTTTCGATGAGCATTTTTGATTGATTTATTCTTCAGTTACAAAAATGGAAAATTTTATGGCATAATCTATTCCATACCTGATTTATATTTGTCTCTAATCCACAGATTAATAATGCATAAACAGATGATAATTCAATTGAAATTTTTTCTAAAGTAGATTCACGATTAGCACATTTGGGTTTCTTTTCTTTTTTGTGGGTTGAAATTTTTTTTTCTTTTTTTCTTTTTTGACTTTTTTTCTCTTTCGTCACTTAAATTTCTATGTTTTGCAAAGGAAATCCTAAGTAGAATCTATGTATTTTACACTGGTCATAAATATACTGATCTCAAATCATATTTGTCACATTTGTTTAAAAAATTGAAAGCGAATTAATAGCTTTATTTAATTAAAATTTTACCAGCTATAGTTTTTCTACTTAGATCCGTAGAACTCATGGATGACTGATGAACGTTTTGGTATTATTCTTGTGGAATCTTTTTCGCATCACTTTAGGGGATATTTTTGAGGGTTTTTATCGGTTTTTTAAACAATATTTAAAATTCTTGATCTCAAGAGGTTTTGAAATTCTGATTTAAAATTCATTGAATTGAGTTCGATATGATTATTTTGGTTGTCGTGGTTTAATTCAGAAGGTACTCTTAATAGCTTGTTTTTAAGGTTATTTTCTTAAAATTCCGATAGTAGTTTGCCAAACTGCTAACGGAAATATTTCAATTTTAAAGTTTTTGCAAGTTAAAAAGGTAAACAAAAAGTTTATCCTAACAGACAAAGAGCATGCTCTTTATCAAGAGTACGGTTGAGAATACGCTTTTTTAACATCCTCTCAAGATCCCAGTAAAGAGCATGTTCAATAGCGGACTCAATCATCCTCTAATTATAAATAACTTGCATGCAAGTTTTTACTTCATAATCTTTTATATACTCTCAAGAGCATGATCTTATATAAAAAACATGATCATTCACATCCTCATGAGATTATGCTAAAATTTTTCTTGCTATATACTTCACAAGCACTAGCAGAAATCACTAGTATAGGTCCTATATACTTCACAAGACAAAGCAGAAATCACTTTTATAAGTAATTATTCTGGACTTTCTATAGTTTAAATATGTCTTTTCGCCATTTGAAATTCATTTAATTTCAGAAGGCGATAGACAAGATGAACAGTTATCAGGACATACTACAACACAGCGTACTCGGGTTCGAATCACGGCAATCACCAAAAAAGAAGAAAAATATTAATTTCTCAAAAACATGATCACAAGCTCATAAATTTTTTTAATAATAAAATTAAAGCATAATCAGCAGAACATGTTCTTGATCGTGTTCTCAAGTTTAACTTGCATGAATAATTTGCAAGTAAAAAAGCGTACTCTTGAGAGCGTGATTTATGTGGTACCGTGCTGCGATCTCCATTTGTATGGGAGAGTACGCTAATTAAGCGTCATCAAATTAAAAAATTGATTTTTAAAAATCATGCTCAGATCGTGCTCTTTGTCTGTTAGGATTAAATATCTGAGAATAGTTCAATTTTAAACAATTTAGCGCAAACCTTAATGAATATTACTACTACTATTTCAAAGAATTCGAGAATTAAATTTTCAAAACATAGCTTCTAATTCAGCTTTAATATCAATTAAATGCATTCAATATTTTACAAAGTCAGTCACTAAGACATTTTGAACAAAAAGTATTTTAAAATTCAAGCTAATCTCCAGAAAATATTATTGAAAGTGAAAAAAATGTTTTTCTAGAGAAATTTTTTAATTTAAACTCGCTTGAAGCTTAGCTGCAATAGAAATCAAATCATTAAAAATGAAACTGCAATTAGTGCATACTATAAATCTAGTATTAATAATAAACTGTGTTATCATTGTTGCCAAAAATAGTACTGAAAATGAAAAGAAACTTGATACGGAGCTAAATCAAAGTATATTTGCTGAAGGATTATCCCAACTGAATCTAGATGACGAGCCAAAACGAAGGATTATTGGTCGTAAAGGTGTTTCGATAAACACAACAGAACCATCTAGCAATGAAACACAGATATCTCATTATAAGACTACTCATGACGAATCATCTCATAGCTCAAAAGTTGATATTTCAACAATTTCACCAATCACCGTCCTTAAAAACAATATTACTAACAATACTGTCGTTACAGTACTTAGTAAGAATAATGAAAGTGATCATACGATTTTAGATTCTCATAATAACACAGTTCCAACAAACTTATCATCTCCAACTGTATCTAATACTTCAATATCACTTAATACATCCAAAATAATATCCACTACTTCAACAATCAATCCACTATCTACAACAACAACAACAACAACAGTAGCAACGACAACTAAATTGATATCAAGTTCAACAGCCAAAACCACACAGAAACCTAAAAAACCAGAAATTACTTATAGCGCTGATGATGACATCCAAATACGTGAGTCTGAGAAAAATATCAACTACAATGTTGCAAATGAAAAGTCTGATGAAATTCCAAAAGTTGAGCAGGACATTGACAGGCATATGCTTAACGAGAAGCGTGCACAAAGCAGCTACATGTTATATTTAGGTTTGGTCTTTGCTCTTCCAACAACATTCGTACTGATAAATATTGCATATAGACGAATTAAAAATTATCTCGAAGTTCGACATTATACACGTGTCGACTTTCTCGTTGATGGGATGTACGTTAGTTAAATCTTTATCAAAATTATATCCATGTTAACAAGAATTTATTAAATTAATGAACGATGAGAACTATAAGAGATTGGATGAATACTGGAAGATGATAAGTGCCTTGAAAGTACCATACTACTTAATACTTATTACCATCAATCAATTAACTACCTTCAAAAAGAAATCCTCCTTCTGTTGTTGAAAACACAGTGAAATTTGTTAAACGTTTTTGATTCCTTTTATAACATTTTTTTTATGTTTTATTTTTTATTAATCCTCTCCATCAAAAGAATCCAATATATATGTATGTATAGAGACTATAAAGTTATGTATATAATTAAAATATGCATGAAACATAGATTAACTAATAGATTTCTCTTTTCATTTCACTATTCATCACAATTGTTATTTTTTACAGTGCCAGTGCATTAAGTCATTCGATAATTCATCATAAAGCATAATAATATTTTATGTGTATTTTTTTTAGTCCTCGTATCCTTTTATGAAGACTTTTTTGGTTTTTCAGGAAATTGCTCGTGTGCGGGTATGAATGATAAAAGCATTAAATGTCTTGATCCTTGCGGTGATCTTCTGAATAATGAATCTGTTCCATGTACTCGATCCAATAATCCAAGCATTCCATAGTTGTAATTGAATCTAAAATGATTTATATTGCGAATATGAAATAAATTAAATTTAATAAGAGTTCATATAACTCACTTTAAATGGTGGAAATCATGAGCTTCTGGACTCGGAAAGAACGGAAAATGATATCCACTGTGCGCATTTAATGTGCTTAATATTGCCATTGTGAACCATAGCCATGATGTCGCTAGATGTGATTTACAGATGAAAACGCCAAGGAATGGTGGCAAAATGTTGCTAAAGATGTGCTCTGTAATTATAAAGATTCGATTGTAATGGTCACTTTTTAATTAATCAAAAATAAAATTTACCAATAGGATGACAATAAATAGCTGTTACAGCAACAGGAGCTATAAGCAAAATAGTATACAAACAAGTAAATTATTATTAAGTCGTACTACAAACTTTGATCTCTTACCCGTCCATTCATGATGCTGCTTATGAATGTACTTGTAAACGTGCTTGCTGTGAAGGAACCTGTGTGAATAGTAAAATCCGAATTCTTCGACTAAAATGCATATTCCGAGTTCAAAAAGAACCCAGTGGAAAGTAGGAAGTTCACGAATGTCTGGAAATCCTCGAAGTTTCATGGCATAATATGAAAGAATTGCAAACGGAATTCCAACAAATGTCTGGTTGAAGAGGACTTGAAGAATAACTTTATATAATTTTTTCTTGTCAAGTGGTTCATTTGTGTTCGGCTGAACTTTATATCTTCTTAATAATTTTGGTTTATTTGTTATATCTAGTAAGGTATATATTGCACCGAATGTCCAATAGATGAAGAATGTGTAAATCGTTGTCCACCAAACGAACAAATTGAATTCTTCCTCGCCTTCAAAAAAAATATTCAAGTTATTAAAAGAAAATGTCATCGTCGATTGTTTACAAAATTACCTGCATAGTCCAAGAATTGATCCCATAAGTGTTGCCACAAGTCAGCGCTTCTGTTCCAAAAGACTTGCAAATGCCTTGGTGGAAAAAAAGAAAGATCAAGTAAAATTTCTTTCATTGTTTAAACCACACTACGTCAGTTAAATGAGCTAGCTATCAATTCTATCGTGTAACTGAGTAGCAGCGAGTAAATGTGTAATGAGAAACAATTTCCTACAATAATAATTTGAGAATTTATTATTATTTTGCAAATAAATGCAAAAACGACCGCTCCGTACAGAGATGAAGTTGGTTGATGTGGAACCAGTTTGTTCTCTTTCGTCTCTCTTTTACTTTTGATACGCACGTTGTACATTTCAGTAATTATTAATGTTTACCTATGTTTACTTCTTCAATACTATTTTGAATTTTTTTATGAGAAAGCTTTTTTCCGTTCTTTAAATTTTTGCTTGATTTTTTTTATCCCGGAGGGCAGTTACGAGAATTAAATTTTTTATGTCATGGAAATTTTGCTTTGATGCCTGACAGCGTCAAATATTGAACGATGTTGATTTAAAGATTTTTTTGCTCAGTTTTTGAGAATATCAATTTTTTAATGCTTTGTATTGGGAGTTGGAATCAAAATTCTAGGATTATGATAGTCTTAGTATTTCAGAGATCTGTCTCATTATCTTCTAGTTAAGTGCCTTGCTGGTCGAATAGGTAAGGCGCTTGGCTCAAATTTGGGATGGTAACTCGAAGGTCGTCGGTTCGAATCCAGCCATTTCCAAATTTGTTCTTTTTCGGAAGTTTAGATACTTCGACTGCTTAATGTAGGAGATCAAGCCATAATTGGGCATTTGGGCAACGTTGGATTAAGGAACGGGTCAGGAACTTGAAGTATAGCTTGACAAATAGGAACGAGAGCTACAAGATTACCCACGAATGGAATATTGTTAGAACGGACCTGAAAAGAATTACGTCACGCCTACAGAAGATCGAAACGAGAGCCTTAGTTTATTTGAAACCTAGATTTGAAGATTAGAAGTTTGATCTTACATAATGTTAATTCATATGTATACAAATACAAAAGTGTAAAATGTGAACTATTACTGGACATTTTGTCATCAATAAATGCAATAAAGTGCAATTAAAATGAAAAATAAAGTCATAATTAAAGAAAGTTTAAAAAAATTCTAATTTTACACCTGTGTAACCAGTTACTAAAGCTTTGATTTCAATCTACCCTATTCACAATTAAATTTATAGCATGTAGGATATAGATTTTGAATTCTAGGTTTGGTTGACTGGGTAGCCATAGAAACCAGCCCCAGATTGCAAAAAACCTTAACGAATTTCATGATTAGAATTAATTAATATTTCTCGATCAGCAGATTTTAAGTTTGATAAATTGCAAAGTCATTATTTTGAACAACAAAAGTTAAAACTTACACACTTTACAAAGAACATAAAGAAAATGCACAATAAACACTCCATATCTTATCAAAAACTCTATAAAAGGATAAAATGGAATGGCAATTACCCCTTAATCTCTCCTCTTATTTACGTTTTGTATCAAAATTGACCCTATTTCTCAATCATTCTCACATTCGTTGTGATCCACTGGAGTAATTGACAAGTAGAGCGTATATTTAAATAAAAGTCACGTATTGTGCAAATATTTCATGAATAATTTAAAAAAATGGATAGAGGTGCCTGTTCTTATCTCTCTCTTTCCTGACAAAACCATTTGACATTGCTGATTCATAATCACAAAAGTAATTGAATTAAATTGCATTTAATGCATGCACACTCACCATGTAACGGAGTTTCTGAATGCAGCAAATATGATCAAAATGATTGATATGAGGACCAAATATTCATAAATCGATGTTGACAGTTTTGATTTGGGTATTTCATGCTGCTTTAATTCATCCTCATTATCAGTGTCGGTGTCATCTTGATGCCTTCTATTACATTTTATAATCTTTTTTTCGGATGATGAACAGCCCGGCTCACTCGTATTTGCATCCATCCTCAGTGAAAAGAACTCATCAACTAACTCGTGTGAAGCTTTGAAATATATAAAATTAGCTTGTGTGTTGATACTTTTTTATTTTGTGTATAATGTTATCAATATTTTTTTTTTCTTCTCTACGAGGATTAATTGGCAGCTTTATAAAAAAAATTTATTCGCAAGTTCTCTTTTATTCTCTTATTTGTGTAATCGTGGTAGTCGTTGAATTTATTCTTTTTATATTTTCATTAAAGTGATAAGTCAAAAACGTTATTGAACCTTTTTTTTTCTTCGTTGTATCAAGCTATCAGCTGATAACTTTATAAAGTATGCCTACCTCCTGCGAACTGTAAGTATATACACACTTTTTTTCCACTGTACACAAAAACTTTCTTTATCTATAAAAAATAGAGAAACAGAACGAAAAAAAAAATATATTGGTAAGAACCTTAATGTTTTATTGAAGCGATAAAAGACCATTAGAGAGGTATTGATCTTACTCGTGTTTTATAACAATATAAAAAAAAGCTCTAAACTATATACGATTAATGATTGAAAAGGGCAATGAAAAAATTTGTTTCCACTTCACTCTTTTGTCAAGGTCAAAACGTAATTGGTGATAGAGTTGACAGTTTGTAATTTTTTATATATATATATGTGCACTTGCTTCAGAATTTTCCTTTCTTTCTTGATTAGTCCTTCCTTCAATCATTTAGCACTGCACCATTAAATGGCTTTCAGGAAAATCTTTTTTTTTCATCCACACTCGACTAAGTTTACTAAAGAAAAAAACTTTATCGTAATTTTCTTTGTGTCCACATATTCTTTGTTTTCGTGAGACTTTCTGGGACTAAAGAGTGGACTGTTCTCGTCAATATATGAAATAAATAATTCTGATGGCTAGAGAGTTCTGATTGATATAAAGCCCTGCTATTTACAAATAAAATGAAATTTAACAACAACAATGCTGACTTGCGCTTAAGTCGATTTCTTTTTGTACGATATATAAACATTTCGAATTTCCCACAAGTTTTACCGCCACGTGAAAATTTTGTTTGAGTTTTTTTAGCGCATTCTTGCGTAACTAGCTCGCTTTGTTCTATTGGAATTGATGAAATAATTAGCGAGATAAGATAAATTGCTAATACTTTATTTTTGCTTATATGTAAAATTATTGAGGTCGTTTTGTGAAAGTGTAATTTAAAAGCTTTTACGTGTGATAATTATTAGAGCATGTCACATTGCAGCTGTGATATAATTTACATAATCAGTAATATAAATCAATTAGGGTATCCACGATAGTTTCCTATATACGCTTCAAAAATAAGTTTAAAGCTCAAAGCTACGAGCTTTTTATGGAAACTTACCGGAAAGTTTATCCAGACTTTAAGCTTCATGCTATTTTATCCTGAATATATTGGTTTTTGAAAATCAATTGAGGATTCTTTTTTGATTTATCGAATTTTTTTTGAGTATTTTGGTACCAAAAACTTTTTAAGCTAAGGATCAAAACTTAATCACAACAGTTTGTCTTGAAATGCTCTATAATTCTCCACTTCCGGTGATTTTCTTACCAGTTTGCTTCGTCATTATTAAAATTCAAAATTCTGAAAATCGTTCAATAAAAAAGAACATGTCAATTTTGAGCAGCTAAAAACATTTATTGAATTTAATTTTTCTTTTTTTTTCTGACATTATTGTTTGTTGTTATTATTTTTTTTTCCATTCACAGACTTTTCATCGTTTTGTTCCCATTTTTATCGTTTTATCAATTTAATGTGTATAATAATTTTCATCCTCATTTCTAAAAATATCATTTTAATTTCATACAATTTTTTTTTTGTTTACGATAATTACAATAATCATTAAAGCACATCTAACATGTTTTTTTATTAACTTATTTTTTTTTATATATTTTTTGTTCGACAATTCTTTGTTGAGTAAATTGTTAGAAAAATTTATTTTTATTGATTTTGATAAATAGATAAATATACTTTCTTAAAAAAATTCTGAGCTATTTTGATAGAGTAGCAGGAAAGAAGAAATTGTAGTAAATTATTTAATTTCGTTTCATATTAAGGAAGTTATGTTTTCTTACAAAATTTATGGAAATTGCAAGTTCTGCAGTCAGGGGTTTAGTATCGAAGATGTTTTTCAAAGCTTTTTAGCTGCTTGAGTTGAAAAGTTGAGGATTAGGTGCATTAATCTTATCAGATATAAATTAATTTATAATCTTGCAAAGTAGAATCTATTGAGCCATATTTCTGCTAAGTAAGTCATCATCCAGTCTTTATAATTTCACTTTTGTGAGCTAATATGTTCAATTCCCATTGTAGAGTAGTTATTCAATTGATGTTTATTCCTACAATTTCAATTGCTTTTTCCAATGCGGTTGATAATGAAAACTCATTTTTGAAGCTTCCTTAATTCATCTGTTTATAAACAGTTTTGATGATTAAAAATAGCTTTTAAGTTCAAAATTCTATTGTTCCTTATTTCAAAATTTCTTAATTCAACACGTTTTATCAACTCAAATTTTATCTTAATTTCTTCCTTTAAAACCTTGAATTTTCTCTTGTTATTCATTAATTCTTTAGCTACCCTGAATTAGCTTCTCAAAACTACCTTCGATACTCAACCCATAATTGCTCCAAAATAGATAAAAACTCTAGTTTTTAGAATATTAAGTTGGATTATTCAGGAATTAATCAAAGTCTTCAAAGATTAGTTGAATAAATATTAAAAAAATATTTTTATTCTAATAGGCTCTTTAAAAGTTCATTTCAATGTTTCTAGGTCAGGCTTCTTTATATGGAAATGTAGAAATAGATTATCATTTTGAACTAATCATAAGAATGTTTGAGTTGCAAATCTAATATATGACTAATGACTAAGTAATAAAGGAGAATTTAATATTACTTAAATGACAAAAAATATACATAACATGACTTGCATTAAAAAGAATGCACAAAAAAATAAACGTGATCAACAACGAGATGAGTTTTAATGTATATTAACAAGCTACATAAAAGGTATTTTCATACTTAACAAATAAAATTTATCTAATTTAACATAAAAGGCAATTTTTGTTCCAATTTTCATTTTCTTTTTGTTCAATTGCTGTTGAAATAAATTAAGATTTTTTTTAAAATAATTAACATCAATAACAATGGCAAGATTGCTTTTAGTTTACTTAAAGAGTATAAAATAGAAAATTTCCATATTTTAGCAGTTTTTTTGTTCTTCAAATTTCGATTTTCAATATTAATTTAATTTAAATTGTGAGCTGATGATCTTGAAATATTTCCAATGTCTCTTCTTTCTTCTTTTTTAGTAGACACACTTCCATCATATCTTTTCCTTTCACATAGACCTTCCCGCGTAGCTCAAACTCATACAAGTCTTGAAATATTGATATGCACTCTTGTCTCAATTGAATTTTTCCGGGAACTCCCGTCGAATCCATTCTAGATGCCACATTTACTGCATCGCCTAAATTGAAAGTAAAATCAAAAAATAATTTACATTGTTATTAATGTATACAGTAATTCATGATTAATTTATAGGTTCTGAGTTGCAAAACTTACCCCATATATCATAATAAAGCTTCGTTGTTCCTATAACACCGGCAGTTACTTCGCCAAAATTGAATCCTATGCGAAGGACGAGATTAAATTCTAATAAATCACGATTAAAGCATTCTAAAGCATTTTGCATTGCCACAGCAAAATCGAGAAGTGCATTAAGATGTTCATATGAATCATTTCGGTACATCTCATCTAGTCCCGATGCACACATGTACGTTGATCCTATTGTCTTTATTTTCTCAATGCATTTGAATTCATCGCGCAATAGGAGCTCGTCAAAGTCTAGTTTAAAATTAATGACAAAGAAGATGTTAAGTCACGATTTTGTTAACACAAATTTAGACAGAACTTCCCATGCTATGGAATTTTATTGAATTTTAAATGGATCTCAAATTTGAGATACCGAAAAGGTTTTGTACAATATAAGTCATGAAAAATTCTGTCCATTAAATCAAGTCAATTTAAATATATTTGCACAAATTTATTACAAAGGAACGCCAATTAATAGCAAACAAGAACGTTATTGTTTTTAAAACAGATATACACACCTCCAATAAGTTCATTGAGAACACGCAAATATTCTTTACCGCCCAAATAAGACTCATCGTACATCTCATTGAAATTCACAATGCTTGCGAATAAGATGCCAACATCTTGGTGATTCTTTGAATATTTAGCTGTATTTTTCAACTCTTCGGCTACATGCTTGGGTATGATGTTGTGTAACAGCATGTCTGCTTGATTCTTCATGTGTTGCACTTTTATTTTGTCTGAATTTGCAACCTCATTACCATAAAAACTTAGGCGATATCCAATTTCAAATTCACGATTTAATAAGAATACAAGAATAAGCACAAGTACGAGATCTAGACATAATTCAACTTCGTAATTTTTAAACCATGCAGAATTACTGGATGTTACATTTTTAGTTGCAAAACTCTTTACCCAATCTTTTTGATAATCTTCATTCATTGATATTGAAACTTCTCGATGATCATAGCCTATCATAATGAACAACATTCCAGATATTAATGCTAGAATGTTCTTTGTCCAACAATTTAATTGAATAAAATTGCAAAAATGAATTAGGCAAACAAACAGCATCAATCCATAATAGAATTGAATTGTTGGAAATTTATTGATGTCGACCAGAGCAAAATTAACAAGAATCGATGCAACTGGCAAGGAGATTAAAATGCTGCCAAAGAAATTCCATGGATAATACTTTGAGGCCCATCCAAAAATGGAATTAAAGTTGCGTGATCGTCTCGGTCTACGGAGAACTTGCTTTGTACATAGAAACAAGACAGTGAGGATCAATGAACTAAAGCAAACAAAACAGCAAACCCACACTTTGTATTCCTTCGAATAAATCGATGGGGATAGTAAGAATAATGAAAGAGCAATCGTAGAAAAAATTATCGTCAGAATGAAAACGTCAATGAACGTATTGAATTTTGGCGTTGCCAACGTTGTCGATGAAGTCATCTCACTTTCGCACTCGTATCTATGTGCTTTGTTTCGAAACGTTTTTTCCATCAATGGATTCTCGAATGATAATGAAAACTTCCTTATCGGTGGCTTTACTAAATAGCTTCTTTGTGAACGTGCATTATCGCGAACACATTTTATCAATTGTAAATCCGATTGTTTTCTTAAATGTTGTACACATGCTTTTAAAGTGTCATTTCCAGGCTGACCTTGAAAACTACCCGTAGCCGGCGATGGTAAATGCTTCATCATGAATGCATCATCCATTGTTGATGAGTCGTTGCCTGGTGCGAGACTTGATTGTGAACTTGTGAAATATCCTGAAACACGATTAGTTGTCAGGCAATTTTTACAATTATTAAGTTGTTGTTGTATACTTGATCTACGGCTGTTGCTCCTAATACCTGAATCTTTTCGACTTGGCGATGAGAATTCTTGAGGCGGATACCATGGTGATAATGAATTACTTTGTTGACTAAACGATCGATGATGATGATTATGATGATTTGAAAAGTTATTAGGTTGTTGATTTTGAGTCCTGTCGGATCGATTACTTCCAGTTCGACTAAATGGCGAAACATCGCATCTTGATTGTGATATATATGATCTCAAATCAGTGATATTAAGACTCAAATCATCAACTTCTTCCTCAATACCATTTGTTAGAGTCTGTGAAAAATCATTATCACTGTGGGGTGACGTGAGACTACTTTCACGTTCTCTTGGAGGAATTTGCTGATAGGTACTTCCATTCGTCGCATTACAATTATTACTATTACTATATGGCACTAATTTATCATTAATATTTTGTTTATTATCACAGTCATTATTATTAATATTTATAGCATTTCTACACGATAGATTATCATTGGTCGTTGGAGATTCTTCAACAACAACAACAATATTGTTGGTCCCTTTACAATTGGTGTCTATCATTAAAATTTCAGTATTATTATTATTATTATTATTATGGTTGGAAGCCTCTTCAGAAATTCCTATTACAATCGTGGGACATTTTCTTTGTTGATTCTCAAGAAGTGATTTCTGTTGTTCTTGACTTAAATTTTGATTTTGTTTCGAGGACGATAAAAATCTTGTAACTGTTTCACTTATTGATGCTAATCGATGTTTTCTTACTTGATTTAGTACGGGTGATGGACTCAGTGATTTAGATTGGTGGTTCTGTTGATTTTGTGATGTATGATAGTGATGTGTCGATGATGACGGTGACATCGATTGAGGTGTGATTGATGGAATGTCATTTGTCGATAGATTTTTATGCTTATTATGATTATTATTACGTAATACTTGAAGTTCATTTGGTTTAGTTGCCGTGCCATGATCAAAAGATGGGCTATTTATCAATACTTTTTTTGCTAATATAAAATATGTCTTATGTCCATCCACATCTTCCGATTCACGAAAAATGTAAGAGTCATCGAGAAACTTTTTCGTTTCCTCAGAAATGTGCACGAGATCTGGATTTCCGGTGCTTTCCATTTTATTTGCAAAACTCACGTCATTCGACCAAACATCAAATTTTACTCGTTTCGTACCGACAATTCCACATAAAACGTTTCCTATTTGAGAATTCCAATTAGAAATCCCATCATAATCAGATAGATAAAAAAAAATAACAAGAGCTTACCCGTATGTATACCAACTCTCATCTTGATACCTTCATGACGTTCAGCATCAAAAATTTTCATTGTGTCAATCATTCCCAGACCCATTTCCACACAGCAAATTGCATGATCTTCCTAAATTTTATTTTGATTACGGATGAGAATAAACAAATGTCTAATTGAGCAGGTTAAATCAGGATAATGAGTCAATAAGTCTTACCCGTGCATTCGGACATCCGCTAACACAATAATAGCAGTCTCCAAGTGTCGATATTTTTTCACATCCATAGATGCCACATAATCTATCGAATCGTTCAAAGAGATCATTCAATATTTCGACTAATTGTTCAGCTGTCTTTGTACTTGACATTTGAGTGAAGCCAACAATGTCGGCAAATAGAATCGATACATTCTTCATGCTATGCATATGAAAAGGTCGAAACATTGACTTTAAATTAAAGTCGGATGTTCGAGGATGATGATGTCGATTATGTGAAATGGCAGTCATTGATGGATCATATTCATTATGATTCGTTGTCTCTTTTAGAAGCAAATCAGCGACAACTTTTGGCATCATACTTGTTATCATCTTTTCTTTCAATTGCTTTTCAAGTTCCAATTGTCGTCGGACGAGAAGATTCTGTCCAACTTTTATAAATGTCCCACGCATTCGAACCGACGACATTAATAGCATATGAAAGGAGATAATATGAACGCAGATGTGAAGCATAACTCGAATCATTATTATTTTATATATTCTTATATCATGAAATCCAGACGTTTCTTGATAATAGGATTTATCCTTTATCGTATAGGTAATTATTTCAAATAATATTGAATATATTGAAGCTACAATGAAGCACAAATATAGTCGTAGTGGAATGACTGTGTAAATACAAATGATACAGATGACACATATTGAGAAGTTTCCGAGAATGCTTAATGATGATCCAGCATAATAGAGCCATGATAAACATGTGACTATAAACAGAAGTGCATATGCACCTGAAAACATCATCATATATATTCGGTAGAAATTTGTGAATGTTATATAAATGGCAATTAATGATATCATTATCAAAAATCCAAGTGTGTAGTTGAGTGGTGTTCCGAACTCTTTGCCTCGAATGGTAAAATAAAACAGCCATATGATCGTCATGCATATTATGTAAAGTAAGGCAAATCTGTAAAGACAAATAGAACATAATTGGAGATAAGAAACAATTTTTGTATAATTTTCAAATAAAAACAATCAGACATGAATTGTATAATCATCCAAAATGATCGCTTTCACGAGATGATGATGATATTGTCAATTGAGAAAGTTTTATATCAGAATTTATGCTGTGGATGTTCTCATAAATTGCTCAGTCATGCGTCTTAAATGCAACTCATTTCCTGATAGATTTTTATGGATATAATTTTTTTCTTTCAAATGTTCACGTACTTTAAGCTTGTTATTGTAAACAACTCTGTTTTTGTGTATTTCAGTATGAACATTTATTTATGTCTTTCTTGACTGTTGAGCTTAAAGCTCGTTTGTTTGTGTGTCTGTTTAATTTTATTCCTGTTTGTGTTTGGTTAAAATTCCAAAAGTTTTCTTATGCTTTTGTTTGAAGAAAAATGCGTGGAAAATATTTTTAAGAATCATGACAACGTGACTAAAATGCGCCTAATATCTTCAAGCTCAAGGACATTCCCACGAGTTTTCTTAATGTTGAGTTTTTTTTTCTTCTTCAAATAATTTTTCTACGTCTCCAACTCGAGTGTTTTGGAAATAAAATTTCCATTTTCATTTCAATTTCAATTATTTTCATCTCTTCCATTTCGATTTAAGTGCTTTATGATTGAGACGATACCAATGAATCATTAAAGTAACGAGGCATGTTATTACACAAAAATTTTGTTTTGTCAAATACTATCAGCGAACTTGATAAAAATTAATCACATGGTCTAGAGGAAAAATGACAATTTCTTGGAATGTTTCAGACAGTTAATATTAAATGCTCAGTGAATTTATTTTTAGAACAATTGAGATCTTGATTATAAAGACGGGATAAACATGTTTAGAGTTGAAAGCATTGCGGTGTTGTAGTTCATTTGTGCTAATTACTTTGTGGCTATTTAGAGGAAATGAAATTCAATCCACAGAGAGCTTTTCAAAGAGGAATTACGAAGTTGTAATTACTTTTAGATGTTTTCGTAAGGATTGCAGTGCTTTATTTACAACGCAATTGATATAAAGTTTAATTTAAATTCTCAGGAAACTCATCAACAGAAAAATCATGAAATTAGTTAAGAACTATTTATAAACACACTCCTATGTAACTGACAATACTCTTAAGAGTATTAAAAGAGAACTGCTCGTGCCTTAATTTATGAAACTAGATGAGTCTCTGTGGTTTAATCAAAATCAGATTTTGATAACAAATAATTTTGGAAAGGTATCATGTGGATGGAATTACTAATTCTCTACTGAATGTAACATTTGAGGAAGTGCTGAATAAAATTTATTATTACAAGCTGCATAGAAGAGAGTAATGTAGTAAAATTGAACATTTATTGTTTTAATGAAAACAGCTAAAGAATACTACATCTTTGTACTTGGCACAATTTCATAGGAATTTAGTATTGCAAAATGTTCATATTTAAAGCATATGCTTGATGAAAATTTTCTCGATTTGCCGCCAAATTTAGTTTTTAAGTGATTCGTTCAGGTTGATTTAGTTTGTATTTAAGAGAAGAAAGCTATTGACTATTTCGTTTAAAGCTTTTTACATTGTGCAGAATTAAGGTTGAAATAACCTATAAAAAGCTAGTAATTCAAATAAATTCAATAACAGGAAACAGATCCACTTCGTCGAAGGTCTTCACATAAAAATCATTATTAATAGCTTTGATCATTATTCTTCTTAATTAGAAATTCAATATCTTGATAATGAAAGAAGAAATTTTAGGAAATTACTTCTTTTTTGTCTAAAGTTTTCATAAATGAAAAGCTGAATGAATGAATCGTAAATTTTTAATGCTTCATTACTTGTTAAGAAGGTCAATCTAATATAAAAGAACGCAGACTATTACGTGAAGGGTTGAATTCGTCGCTAAGGTAACGTTACTAACAACTGAGTTGATTTCAAACTCGTGCCGAGATTTAAAATCCACAGAAATTCAGTGAAAAGTAAAATAAACCATTCCACTTGCATTACATCTAGTTTTGAAAATTTTCCATTTGATATTCAATAAATTGAAGCTAAAATTCTTTTCTCTGTTTATATTAGCTTTTGCAGTAATTAAATGTGCATATTGTTTCATGTTTCAAATTGTTTAATTCATAAACATAATAATTAATTGCTTTTAAGTCTAGCTTCGAAGAGATCTTTGTGGGAATTTTTAATTGCTCAATGCTCAAAAAAGATTGAACACGATTTAGAAATACTTTAAATTGGGTTAGATTATTAATCGATTGTCAAGATTGAAGCATCATTAGTCATTAGCGAAAATCAACAAGTATGTCAAAGCAAGAGTATAGTCAGGAAATTATTGTCTTTTATTAAGAATAACTGTCAATTTTCTACCTTAAAAAGAAACCCCCCCTGAATACGTTCCTTAAACTTTATATTTATTTGAGCAATGACTCGGATAAATCATCAGCTTTAATGAAAAAGAATTGAGTAGCGGAGGTGGAAGTATTTATACTTAATTACCTTTCTTTGATCAAAATTACTCATTTTCTAAGAAATAATGTTGTTTTTTGGAAATGTTAAATTGTTCTAAATTTGTACAAGTTTGCCATGGGCAATGAGCAATCAAAATTAAGCCTGCTTTTGATCTGAATCGAGTATTTCTGTTTTGTTTATAGAATGTAAGAGATACTTTAGCTATAAAGTAAAGTTCATGACACCCAAGCATCTCCTTATTCAATAAAATTTAACAAAAATATTATCTGTGTAAAAACTTAACTTACTTCCGAGAATTTAATCACAAAGTCGTAGGTATATAAATAAAATAAAATTAAAAAAAAATTCTCAAAATGGATACCCATTAGACTTTTCGTCGACTTCTTCATATTGACATTGCGAGACGGCAAAACCATTAATAATTCTTTATGCACCACATCATCCACAGTCATCTTGTTAATTTAATTAGCGGAATTGTGGAGATAACAACAGATATGTGTAGATTATTATTGCCATATTGTATTTGCTATAACTATAAGTTGATTGTGTGATGGAGAAGTAACCACGAAAACTATTCATGTGTACATGGGTGTACATGAATGCTCATATAAGAAGAAAAATAATAATTTAATGACACTATATAAAAAAAAACTGAAACAATTTTTTCTCCTTGTTATTATTATTATCATCATACAGACACAAGATGATGAAAATTGCATAACTTAGTTTTTACATTCTATTCTCTGCTTTGGATACTCAAAGCTCCCAAGAGAATTATAAATTGTAAATGTATTGTATCACAACGTCTTATTTTTTTTTTTTTGCTCTACATATATTTTATTACATTATATTATATTTGATATTCCCGTATGGATGTGTGTATGAGCAGATTTGTATTATGACAAAAAAATATCATTGTTGAATAAATGAGTAAGAAATAATGGGAAAAAAATTACAATCAAGATGGGAAGAAAGGCTTGAGGGTCCACTTGAGGGAGGTTAGTGAAAAAAAGATATTTTTATATTCGTAGAAAGTAACTTAAAACAATCCTCAAAACAGTCAATGACAGCACATATATTATATATTCACTCACCGAAATCTTAATCTTATTTGTGGAAATATCGATATTTGGTACTGCTCCTCGAGTACCTGAGAATCAAATTTTGGATTCACAAAGGAATTGCCGGCGGCACGTTCGAATGCTAATGGCAACATCACATTACAGCATGTATAACGTCTTGATGTTTGTGTCAAAAATGCCTGGACATACGGTGCAAACGTTGTCAGCTGACTATCCTCTGGTATTGTTGAGTTTGATCGATGATAAGAGACTGGTGACTATAAGAGATATCAGGAAAATAAAAAAATTATTTTAACTTTACTCGCTCTTTTTAATTGAGCGATGATAATGTCACTCAACTTTATATACACATTAAATTAAATGAGCCATCAAAATGAGTCTTTTCTTAAACTTTTTATATATCCAACACGGTAATAATGCTAAGTGAACTAACAACATAGAATTAGTATCTATGACAAAATTTAATATATTTTCTATTTTTATATATTTTTTTTTTTTGATAATTTCATTAAACAAGACAATAGTCTCACTGCGTTGACAATGCTACGACACGGCGTAACAAATATAATTTTTCGTTATGTCTTATTTCCACTTCAATTCGCAAACACGTTAGAAATGATACTGAAGCAGTTTTTCACAGTATGCTTTTTTCTCCTATTATTTTCTTCTCTGCCTCTTGCGGCATCAGTGAAGCTTAGAGAAGTTTATTTTTTTTCCTCATCTCTGAGACGCACACGAGAAAATATAAATAAGTAGTATTCGGGTGAATTTTGAGGGTGAGAGAACAGCGCATTTTATCTATTAATTTCAGCAATACAAAGTTCTTAATTACTTTGAAATGAAAAGAGTTGCTCTGTTTCTTATTTCTGAGAATATTCTCTTGATTTTAGTCTCAAAATTTTGATTATAAAAACACATGCAAGTTCCGTAAAGATTATGACTTGTTTATGTTTTGGAATTCTTTGATTTCGTCAGTGAGCTCTTATCTATCTTCGTCATGATTACTATCATCTGAATTGTTCCCATTTAACTGCGTGTTTCCTCGTCAATATTATTCATCATGTTCGCTGTTCCGAACTTTCTACAATTTTTGAGGATGTTCGGGAATTTTTCGGATGAAATTTTCGTTGATTTCAAACTTAAAGTTAATAATTAAAGTCGTTCTTATTTATGTTTACTATTGCTTTAAATTCAAAAATGACTTTTGAAGAATATTTTGAAAGAATAATCATCTTATTAAAAAACTTAATGCTAAATCAGTGGAATTGAATTCAAATCTAAAGTTAAATTGCCAAAAATCTATAAAATTCGTTGTGTTTTGAAAAACTTCAACAATGATCATTTTTGATCATTTCATCAGTACCGCACCCTTAAAATTTATGCTGAAATTCTGTTTCCTTTGATTTCTTTGAAGTTAAGTTCATAAATCTTCAATATTAGTTTCAATTCAATGGTTTCTCATAATATTGTTCATTAAATACCTAATTCAACCTTAAAAGCATTTTTGAAATTCAGTAAAGTTAAAATTTTAACTTTCTATGGTAAATTTCTTTGAACAACAAAAAAAAAGATCCTAATTTTATCATGACTTTATAAAGCTTCTTGACTTGATTAAATTCTTTTATTAATCTTTTCATAAAAATGTTCTTCATATTTTAATCTACAGAAACCTTTTGATTTTGTTCAAATAAAACCCATAAAAGTTTTTTTATTCAAAATTTATGCTAAACATACTTTTGACTTTGAAACATTTTTATGTTCCCCAAAAGATGGGTATTAAATTCAATCCTATTCATTGCTGTAAGAAAATATGTCTGAAACTTGTCAGAATCAATCTTTTCATCATAAAAGGAGAAAGAAGTTCATTGCTTTTTAAAAAAATTCAAATATTAAGGAACAGCGGTGTAGCTAGAAATTGTTCAAGGTTTGCAGGAGGAGGGATTTTATTTTTATGAATAATAATTGGAGAAAAACATAAAAAATATAATTTTTTTAAATAGGTTGAAGAGATAGACCCTCAAACCTACCCTGTTAAGGAACATTTTTTGCGGTAAATTATTAATATTTTTTTTCACTCTGATAAATAAAATCTCGTTTGACGAACACTGAATTTTACTTAAGCTTTTTTTCTACCTTTGCATAGAGAGATTTCACGATAAATTTAGCAATCAAAATATGGAAATGATTTGATAAAAAAAATCTATTTTAGTCTATTCAGTTTCTTGAATAAATTTGTTGAAATTTTATTGATTAAATTATTTACTCTTACATTTTCATTACTTTTTATTGCAACAACAGCTTGGAGATCATTTAGAATTTTTATGAATTTTGGACGTAATAAAAAAATTCAAATTGCGCTTCGTTTAAATAATTGTGTCTACAAATAATTCGTTACTACTGTGTCATTAAATTGAGTCATTTAACATCATCAATTGATTCCAAAAATTGCAACAACATCAACATCCGATTTGTTTTTATTATTTTTTGTCTTCATTATATTTTATTACAATTTTATTCTTCTTGTTCCTCCAAGGTACAAATTCGACAATTGATAAGAAAACAGAGTGGCAACATTTTTAAGAAATTACGAAATTATGACAAATTTTGATAAAAATATCTATTTTTTTGTCTGCAGTTTATCATATCTTTTAATTTGAAAGGTATACAAAATATCTTTTAAAAAATGCCATGCGGTATAATCATAAAAATGATAAATCGAATGTTCAGACAAAGCGAACGATTTCATTAATGCGATGCGATTATGGAAACGAGAGGGAGAAAAATGAGTACCAAGAGAGGACATGGTTGATATAAATGTGTCAACAGGTTTTAATAAAGAAAATATTTTCGCAATTCGATGAACGTTGAGCTTCAGACTATTTTTGAGCATAAATTATTTTAATTTTTTTTTCATATTATTGAACTCCTAGACAAATTTAAAATTTTGATGGCATTTAATTTTTTTGTTGTTGTTGTGATTTTGAATATTTTCTTATTAAAGAGGCTATAAATGTCTTTTTAATGAGGCTAAGAAGGTGAAAAGTTAAGCGTGAAACTTATTAGGAATTTAAGTTCGTTTTCATATTTTTTGATAGCTTTTGTTGAAGTAATAACTTCACATTTATTAAGAATCAAAACAGTTAATATTTTTAATAGCATCTAATTTTAAAATTCAAATCCTGACCACAGAATTATTGCAAATCATTATTCAATTGTTCAAACCAATTTCAATAAAAGGTTAGCTTAATTTGAAGCAATTATTTAACCCCATATGAATTAGAATTGAATAAAGATCTATTCAAATCACTGTGAAATGCAAAAATTTTAAAATAAACTATTGCAAAAATCTGCTATCAACCTCAAGTCTTATTTGAATGCATCTACAATGAGACTCTCATTATTTTCTCAGTGAATTCTCATTCGATACTCTAAAAGAAAATCAAACTTTTGCGCTTTTTTCACTACTAATCGCATTGATGAAGGCAAAGATTTATCGGTAATGTAAACAAAACAAAGTGAATTGCCTTCATTAATTCAAATCAATTAGAAAAACTTAAAAATGCTTCTTTTTTTTCATAAGTTTAAGTGGAAAATGTGCATGTAAAGAAGGAAAAATAATTTTTAAGCCTCTTATTCTTTTTCGTTCCTCCTTTTTACCTCATAAAAAGAAGATATTGAAATTCTTCATAAGTATGTGGTGTGTATACACAGTGAAATATAAAGTATATTGTAAATTATCTCTGTTCATATCGTAAAAATTTTATTTACCTCGCTCATTTTCGCGAATTTTATTTTCCTTCTCTGGCTTTCTTCTAAGTAAAAAAATTACAATATTGAGTGTGTAACTCGTGTTCTCCTCAGCCAGCAACACACACGAATTTTCTTCTTTCCTCGCCTTCGATTTTGTTCCTTATAGAAACTCTATTATTTAATTTGGGTTTTTTTTGTTCAATAATTGAATTCGTTATTATTTAATTTTTTTTTGTGTGGTTACAGCGAGCACATACGACGATGATGACTTCTGTTTGTTTAGCGATTATTATATATTTTTTAAATGCTTATTTTTGCGCTCCTGTTGAAAACCACAAAAGCAATGATGATGTTAGATAATTTATGATATTTATTCAGTACAAAGTATCGAGTTCATTTTATTATATTTAATAAGAACAATATTTCTTGCAATATGTGAACTGAATTTGCATGTCATGCACAGCATTTAGGCTCACTACACTTGCGAATTTTTTAAGCACTTGAACTACAATTCACTTTATTGTTTATGTTTTTTTCTGTTGCTGTTGCTGTTGTGTTCATTTATCTCAATGTTGTAATTGATTATAGAGCGCTCTCGATCAAGTTCATTGTAGGCAATTAATAGAGGCAAAAAAATTAACGAAACGTCACGTGAATGACATTAATCTAAACTGTATCACAATCTCTAAGCATCTGACTGTGTAACAAAAAATTTTCAATGTTTTTTGTTCTCTCACACACGATTTTCTTCTCTCTTTTCCTCCAAATGCGAATATTTTTTTTTTATATTTTTTAATATTTGATTTCTTTTCTTCTTGTTCGATCTATGTGTACATATATAATTTTATTTTCTTCTTCTTTTTACTTCACAATTGAGGCAATAAAAAAAAATTTCTTTTAAATAAATTTATTGATCGACTACATTTGACTAAAATATAACAGTCACTATATGGTTGAATAAGAACTATTGGTAAAAAATTTGGTAATTTAATTAAGGCAATATTTGTTCTAGATCCATGAAATTAACTTAAAAAATAGTCGAAAAATAATTCGTACGAAGGAAAAAAATCTCCAACCAAAACAGAGGAAATAGGAGTGTGTCGATGACGAGTTTCATGTTTTGTTGACGATTCTTCATGTTTTGAGATATTTCTTGATTATTATGAATGAATGGATCGTACTTAATATACCCAAATTCTAGTTTATAAAGGGAGTTTCTACTAGTTATAGTCTTGTATGTGAATCACTTCCTCTAAATTAATAAAATTTGATTTAAAAATCGCTGAATGTTTTCTGAAGCATTTTGTAAATTTTCCACAACTAGTGCTGAATACAAACGGATTTTAAAATAAAATGACTGTTATGATAGTTAAAGACGTTAAGCTTTTGTCCTACTTTAAGCTGTTTGTAAAATATTGCTGACTTTTGATACTTTTTTTCTAATATCCAATAATTTTTTATTGAATAATTTTACTTGGATATCGGACCTTTATTATTTGGAAAATTAAGGAAACTTCGCCTGATCTTAACTTGAATTCCTCCCTTATCCATTGTTTAGTCTACAACTTTTTAAACAAAAAAAGAAAATCACGTGAATTAATTAGCTTAATTTGATAAGAGAAATGATTTATTTGCTTGAACTTAAAATTCATCAACCTGTTTTCTGAAATGTCATATAATAAGACATTCATAAGTGGCCATAAGCAAAAAGTCAACTAATCTATTAAATGGAAATGATGTCTTTAACCGCACACTTTATCAAACTAAGATGAACACCTTATCGCATTCAAAAAACAATCTATTGACACGTGCGGAATAAACATAAGCGTGTTTACACTTATGCTTTATAATAAGAAGGCGTGTACGCTGTTTATAATATTTTTGGGTGATAATTGTTGTTGATTACTTTGAAAAATCAGTAGATGACACATTTCTGTCGATTATTAAAAAAAAAATATGTTTGAATGACGAAATGATAGATTATGGAAAGTTTTGTCATTTGAGAATGCTATAGTTCAAATGCGACTATACAAATTTGGAGGCCTGTCATAAAATAAACGTTCTGAAATTTCAAAACAAGCTCATTACTACAAAATTAAAAAAAAATTTTGAGAAAGTTAATCATATGTTTTATTCAGTAAGGTAAAAATAATAATAAAAATACACAAAAAATAATTATTTTAATAATTTCATGATTTACAGCTGCTGATCTCTATTTTCCATAGATTTCAAATAACTATCCGCGAGGTCACGATCAGCCCCTGTATAAGAAAGATTAGCATCATCTGTGCTGCTCTTCTTTCGTCTCTCACTTCGTTTCTCTTGACCATCTTTTGGACTTCTTCGTTCATCATGCGTGTAGTAATAATCTTGATAGAAATTTGACTGATAACTGTGAGGCATCGTGTACATTCGAGCATTAGTCAAATAACCAGATGATATTGAGGGCGGTGTTGCATAAATTGGAATATGATATGGTGGAATACCATGATGATGATGATGTGATGTTGCTGGTCTTGGGATTGTCATGATTGACCTCTGTCGATGTAATTTGGCATTGTTGATGTAATTCTGATAGCCATTTAGGTCATAATTTGCAGCACCAGCAGCTTGTAATGATTTCAGATATTTTTGAACTTTTTCATAGTTCATCGCATGTTCCGTTGCATCATATGTATGCTCCCTAGAAAGAAGGAGACAAAAGAATAACGGTTAGTAAATTTTTAAATATCCGAAAATGTTTCGCAAATCGAATATAAAAACATTGTGAGAGAGAAAGAAAATTTTCCTGAAATTCGTATTGCAAAAAAAAACATCTTGCATGTTTTAAACAGTCTAACATTGCATATTAATTACTTCTTATCAATTTAATGTATTGCTATACGTAGCTAAAGACGTTGAATTGAATGAAATTGTAGAAAAGTTCTTGGAAAAAATCAATTTCGTGTTGCTGACATATTTTTTCAATAGAAGAAAAGTTTGGAAAATATTTTCCATTTGTGAGTCGTCATTTGGCATTAAAGTTGTTGATAACAGCTTGAATACAAATGAAGTGATAAAGACGAAGCGTACTAAATTCGAGTAAATTGTGTATTATAATGTTATACATTTAAATAACGAGCTAAAGAAAAGACGAAACAACAACACAACAAAAATGTTTAACAGATTGAAAAATCGAGTTTTAACTTCTATTGTACCAGACATTCCATCGATTACACCATCACCTAGTTATTCAATCGGTAGACCATTACCGGATAAATTTCAATATCAACGACCTCCATTCCTACAACTTTTAACGCCAGATGAATTGAAAGCTTCAGCTGATCATAATGTTAGACCAATTATAGTTCCAAGAGATGTCGGAATCATGCCATTTTCATGTGGTTACGCAGAATGCGTAAATTCAGGCAAATCAGAATGGAATGAAGATCAAGCAGCATTTAGTATGAACGTATTACATCATCCATCAAAAGACTTTCCAGACTTACCATATGTGTACTTTGGAATTTTCGATGGGCATGCTGGCTATGGTGCAGCTTTAGCAGCCTCACTACAATTTCATCATATACTACATGAGAAACTTGTAGACATAATTGAATTGTTGTTACCGACAAATGTTAATGAGACACCCCCAATGTTTCCTCTCATGTTCCACAAAACCGTATCTAAGGATGAACTTATCATTGGTGCTTTAGAAAGTTCTTTTTATGACATGGACGCTGTCTTAGCTGAAGATCGAACCAAATATAGAAATGCAGGAGGCTGCACGTCAGTCGTAACATTATTTATTTTAGGTAAAATGTATGTTGCAAATGCTGGTGATAGTAGGGCTATACTTTCACAACGTCTATCAAAAGAAATGATAAAGATGCAAAATGACAAGCCTTATCCAAATGGCACTAAATGTGATTCTGATGATTATCAAGTCATTGCAACACCATTTTCATTTGATCATACGCCAGACACAGAACGAGGAAGAATTCTTTCGCTTGGCAAAGTTCATCCAGATCTCATGGGTGGTGAATATTTAGCAATGGAATATGCTAAGAAACCAATGACGAAAGATTTAGGCACACGAATTCTTTACAAAACGGGAAATATGAAAGGATGGACATATAAGACGCTAACAAAAGAAGATCTCAAAATGCCGATCGTGACAGGCGAGGGAAAGAGATCGCGATTGCTTGGTACTATTGGTGTAACTCGTGGTTTTGGAGATCATGACTTGAGGGCACTCGGTAGTGGTTTATTAATAAAACCATTCCTCAGCTGTCATCCCGAGATCGTATATAGAGACTTGAGTCTTATTATTTCACTTCCTGATGACAATAATATTGATGGCGAATACGGAATTTTGGTATGTAATAAAGCATAAAATAATTTATTAAAATCAATTAGTCATTGGTTATTTTGGCATTATGGCTTATTGTAGATAATGGGAACTGACGGTCTATGGGATGTCCTTGAAAATGAAACTGTAGCAAGAATTACATTTGAGACTTTAAAAAAATATCCAAATGAGAAGCATAGGTATACAATGGTAGCACAAGAATTGGTCGCTAAATCTCGTGGACGTGCTAATGATTCAGGCCATTGGCGATTAAGTGATCTAAAAGCACCTGCAACTGTCGATGACATTTCTGTAATTGTTATTCCTGTCTATCAGTACTACAAAGAATTTTGTGAATGGGAAAAGAAGTTCTTTGAGGCACAGCAGAGACGTGAAGCGTTACGTAATAATAGCAACAATAAGAATAGTAATAATAAAAATAAACAACAAGCAATGCCTACGGCAACTACAAATGGAAATGTATCACTTAATAAAATTGTCGAAAATATCGACGATGATGACGAAGATGATGAAGTCCAAGAGGCGAAAGAAGAGAATTCAGAAATCAGTGACGAAATTGACAAAGCTATTGAAAAGCTAAACTTAAATGATGGAAACAGTGAGGAACCAACGGAATCGACAGCATGAATTTCATTTTCTTTTAAGTGAATTAAATTAATTATTATAATCAAGACTTTATAACAATTATGTTAATTTCGTAAGTAGTTAAATCATTTCTTTATCTTAATCTTCCCTTCTCTCTTTCCTCACTTCCAAATTATCCCATTAATGACATCTTCAGGGTGCGAATATGTCGAATTTAGCTTCAAAAATAAAATAGTTGCATTTAAAGAGCTTATTACAAATAGTTTATTATGTTGTGGATTTTTTGATTCCCTCTTTTCATTAAAATTAAACTTTATAGATCAAAATAGCTTTTTCGAAAATATATTTTCATATAATTCTGGTTTTAGATAGCTAATTAAACGTCCCCCTCATAAAGGTTCATTAGTCAAGGCTCTAATGTCCCAGAAAACCTGCATAAACCCTTGAAATTTCGCATCCTGAAGCATTCAAAGAAAAAATTAACAGTAATAACAGAATTGCGCAACGTCAATGGTATAGAAAAGACAAGGCATTTAAGTTAAAGCACATATTACATAAAAAGTCCCTCCACGATAGGCATAAAATTATTAAAATAGGTAATAATTATACTTATTATGATGAAAAACGAAAAACAAACCAAAAGATACTTACTTCGAACATAACTGCAGGGCAGAATAGTAGACGGAAAACATGCTCGTGAGGAGATGTAGGATGAGTAAAATTGTTAAACCACATGCTGCCATGACTGCGGCTTCAAAATCCTGAAAATAAACATGAAAAAATGAAAGTGATCACATTGATTAATTACATATTAATATACACAAATATTGTGCGTGCAATGATCTCATTTCTTTTTCGGTATAGTTTTATTTCACATTTTTTTTGAAAGGTATGATAGCATAATATACATAACTTTATGTAAATGAAAGGGAAAATTAAAAAACATGGTTATGCTTTGATGGATTTACATAAGTATTTTCATCTGATTTCTGTTTAAATTATTGCATTAGTCAATAAAAGTCTTTTATGGAAACGAAACTGAGATGATTTATGTTTTTTATGGATTTAATTTAAATTTTGATCTAAATTAGGTTTTACAACTGATGATTTCGAATAAAAATTCATAGCCACACATTTTACCGCCTAAATTGGTAAATTGATACAATATTTGGTCATAAAATATTTCAGCAGAAATTAAAGACAAATTCAGTCACGAATGGCTGGTCAAATTATTCAATACTACAGATTCCATCTATCCACGACATACAAGTACTTAACTCAAAAATTTCAAAACAACCTTTCTATATTCTCACTAACCGTACTTAAATTCTCAAATCCACACGCAAGTTAAATTTTACTTACTGGATCCTGTTGTGAGATATTGTAATCTCTGACTAGTCCAATGCCTGTGAGAGCTAGGGCGAGTGTGCTAGTCGCCACTGATATCAAACTACATGCTAAGAAGCCATTCAGTAATGGCTTAATATTCATTAATCCTAATGCGCCACAAACACCTGCAAAAATTCCTGCCCAAATACCTAATCGATATTGAAACAGAAAATTTAATCCAATTATAGATTCCAAAAAAAAAATCTTAAGTATAAATTACCTGATCCAAACATCGCTAGCGATCCATTTCGTGCAATAAGTAAACCTCCAAAAGCACTCATTAAGACACTTAAAACTAATTGAATAATTCCTAATTTTGTGTGAGCTGCAACGCCCTTTCGTGACGATGAAGACAACTCTTTTTGTATTTCCTGATTCGACAGTAGATTAAGTGATGAATTCATGACACTCATAGGCTTGTCCATTGTTGTGGATTTCATATCTTTAGCATTATTTACGACTGTACTGTTTGGATCATTCATCTTAATCGTTTGAATTGTTTCATACTTTTTCTCACTCATATCATTCACAATATGTTCGCCACTGTGTACACTTGCCGCTTTTGATGGCGGTGATGGCTGTAAAACTGTCGGTACAACAGCTGGTTCAACCATTTCTTCTTTCTTCTCATTTTCCATCATCTTGTCTCGTTATTTATTTTGTAGACTTTAGCGTTTATGTTTTATAGATGCTTTGACAAAAACATTTGAATTCGATTTAAAGAAGATCCGCAGATATTATTTTTTGTGCTGTATGTGCTGTGAATTAAAATGAGCAACAATTGAATTAAAAAACGATACAACAAAATCCGTGAAAGTTTTCATATTGGCTGCAAAAATATTTTTATTTGCCAAATGGAACTAGAAAATCAATTAGTATTCACATTGTGTCGATGGGCCAAATAAATATTTTCATTTCTTCGACAATGGAAGAATGGACGATTGCGGAATTTGAGGTGAAAATCGCTTAATGACAGTTTAAAATTCAACAAATTTTAATCTTTTATTAAGATGATGTTTTATGGCATCATATGTGTATGGATGTACAAGCAGAAGAAAATCATAGAGCGTTGATTTTTAATTCACGTGCTCATCTGGTCAGACACTCAAATTTACTTACTCCGTAATTAATAAAATTTTAATTAAGATAAATTTTCATTTTCAAAATTTTAATTTTTGTGTCCTACTTTTTCTTGTTAATTTCTTTTATAAAAGATGAGATGTTACCGAAGATTTTGCACTAGTTGTAATTTGGTATTAGTACAAAATATTTTAAAGCTACTTATTAATAGTACAATGGCTTTTGTGGCACTTGAAATTTGAAGTGTTTTGTCACCGTTTAAATTTTGTGTATTGAGCATTAAGATCTGATTTTTCAATGATTCAGCTTGAAGTTGACACGTTGTGCCTATAATCAGCAACTAGTTTCTAGTGAGTGCTAAAATTTTATTAGCAAAATTATAGAATTTTGTATAAGTTTTGAGGATGAAACCTAAGCTTTTAGAAGCTTTTGGCTTGCTTATCTTTCATTCATAGCTACCAACCTAATACTGTCTATTTTATTGTTCCATAAACCACCAACTACTCATTCATAGATCATAATTAGACTCACAAGTCCAAAAATCATGTCAAATTTTCATAATTATCCAAAACAACTTTAACCTGACCCCCAAAACAATTCAGTCTGTTATAAATTACTCAAAACGCATTGAAAGAACACAAACTTCTTCTTCTTTGAAGTTATTACACTCAGCATAGAAAATCTAATTGGACATTTTATTGAAATTAGTTTATAAAAAATATGGAATGTGTTGAAAGAAGTCTTATTGTCTTGCATGCAAACCGATTTGTATGAGCATGATAATTGCGGACACTATGTACAAATTAGTAAGTCAGTGCATAAATTTGGCAATTCATTCAGTTATTTTTTTTTTGTTTTCTTGTTGTGCTTTTTTTGAATTGTTTGAAAATTTCAATTTAATGTGACATGAAATATTGAAAGAAAGGTCTTGTAGGTGATTTGTTAGAGACACAATGTACGTGTGACAGACGTTTGAACTGTTTTGTGAACAAAACAATCGAAAAAATTTTAATTTGATTTTTTTTCTTTCAAATTTTTAAATTAATTTTGAAATTGATTGAAAGATTGTTGCTCCAGATTATTTGTGTTACCTAAGTGTCATGTAGATTCCCTATTGATATGATTTTAGCTCAAAACTTCAATAATTTCTTTAAACAATTTTTTTATCAATTTCTTAACATTGTTAACCTCAAAAAATCATCCGTATCCGCACCTTTATAAGTATTGGATTTCTTTAACATTTATTAACTTAATCAATGGAATGTTTACAAAATGTTGCAGAAAGAGATGAAAGAGAAAATTGAGATTTTATATGGCATTGGCGTAAAAGTTACAAATTAATAAAAACATACACATAAAAATGCCTCTACGATATCGTAGCATATAGCATAAAAAACCTAAAGTGATCAACGAGAAAGAAAGACAAAAAAAAAACGCAAAAAAAAAATGTTAAAAAAAACTTTTTAAAAAACACGCTTTTATCAAAAAGACTAAAAATCAAAAAGTTCAAAATAAAATAAGGTCACACTTTTAGCGAATCAGGATTTTAAAAATTTTCTTGTGACAACTAGAAATGTAACATAAATTTTTTTCAAAATATTGTGATTAAGTCCAAGAACACAATGACTCTATAAGCGTAAGGCGTAATTTAAGGATGCATTTCTTAGTTCAATTAAGTTCTTAAGTAAGAGAAGCGTCAAATCTCAAAGCCCCACGCTTTTCGAGTCATTGTGTTCTTGGACTTAATCACAATATTTTGAAAAAAATTTATGTTACATTTCTAGTTGTCACAAGAAAATTTTTAAAATCCTGATTCGCTAAAAGTGTGACCTTATTTTATTTTGAACTTTTTGATTTTTAGTCTTTTTGATAAAAGCGTGTTTTTTAAAAAGTTTTTTTTAACATTTTTTTATTTGTTCCTTTTTTGGTCGCTTCGTTTTTATTCTCAACAACAGACTTAACTTCAAGAAAAAAATGTTATTTGTTTTTTAGTCTTCGGGAAAAAAGCGTGTTTTTTAAAAAGTTTTTTTAACGTTGTTTTATTTGCTACTTTTTAGTCTCAATCTTTTAATCGAATTTCGACCACAACAATTCAAATTCAACTCCACTTCGTTTCGTTCAACTTTTAATATATTCCCATTTATTAATGGGTAATTAGTAACGACTGTCAGGATTTTTCATTCGTTTTTATAATTTAAGTCATACCTGGAAACACATAAAACTCTTCCAAAAAATGTCCTGAACTTCAATTATGTGCGTTTTCTGTGTTTTTTAAAACATTCATGAGTAAAGAACATTAAAAATCAACCGTAAAGATTTTGTGTTTATCCGTACCATTCCTATTACATAACGTGTGGATTCTTAACATAAAGATGCAAATCACATCTATATGTAACGTATTTATAACGGATTTTTCAAATTTAAATTCAATGAATGTCATTCATATGTTATGCAAAATTACGTTAAGCCGATAATAAATAGAAGTCAATTTAATTAAATTGGTGAAGTGCTTTAAATATTGTAATACATTTAAAACAGCATACGTTTATGCTCAAATTATGTGTGCTAAATGCACATCACATATTGATAGTTATTTTGCATTAATTCGTAACGGACTTGTGATTAACGGTTTTTTTTGAAAATTCAAATTTTCACTTACGGATATTCATGAAAAAATTACTTGTCAATTTTTTCATCCTCCCAGAAAATCTTCAGCTTCTCCAATTATTAGTATTATTAATAATTAGTAATATTAATTAAACTATAGCGAATCATATAAATGACTTTTGAGCATTTCAAGTATAATATTTTAAACAAATCAAAATTTTATATCATTGACATTGGATTTTTTTCCCATATAAAAAGGTTTTATTAAAATTGTACTATAATTAAGTATTTGTGTGGTTCTAAAGTGTTAAAATATTGTATTGTCACCGGGAATACGTGTGTATACAAAATTTGAGCTCGATTGGAGCAATAGAAGTGGTCGAAAAATCGATTGCAAGATTTGAACGTGACATACAAAGAAACCAACAGAGCAACTCAATAAAAAGCGTGTAATAATAATAAAAATGTGGAAAATTTCACTTTTTATGAATGGAATATGTGGAAGAGACTTTACTTTAAACAATGGAACGAGCACGAGTAATATATGAAGAAATGTTATATCTCTTAATTTCTTTATTTTATTTATTTTTTCACTTTATGTGTGCTTTTTTTCGGGCATTTTGCACGCAGTTACTTAAACTAATTTTCTTCCATTTCATTTACATAATAAATAAAAGAAAAGTAAGTCAATGTTTAATTTTATGTGGGGATGGAATTTAAAAAGAATGCGGAAAGAGCTCATTCAGTTATAACTTCATTATATGACGAAGGGAGGGAAGGGAATCAAGGGGAGCGTCAGATACTTTGAAAAACAGTCAACCAGAATTAGAATGAGTGCTGCTAAGCTTCCAAATGCAAAATATTCATAGCTGACAATTAAGACTTCTAAGTTAGCCTCTGGTTAGCTTCTGTCAAATAATTCTATCCGTTCCTATTTACATGACTCAGGGGCGTAGCCAGAAAAATTTTTGAGGGGGGGCCCATTTTCGAAAATTAAAAACCCGTCATTTTGTATCCTTAAATCTATATTCATTCTTCATAAGTTTAAATATTTAATTTATTATTCATACATTAAATTCAATTTTCCGTGCTGATTTTGACATTTCTTTCATCACTTCCTCTACATTAACTTGTTCTTCTCTATAAACACTTAATAAAGCAATTATCAGATTTTCGTAGGGGGGGCCCGGGCCCCCTATGGCCCCCCCTGGCTACGCCCCTGACATGACTAGGCTGTAAGCTTGACATTTCTCTAGAAATAGGGTTCAAAAATCTAAATCATAGGCAAAAAAGCCATAAAGTTAATTACAATCATTTATAAAGCTGCATAAAACCTTCCAAATTATCAAAAAACAAAAATCCATGTTGAAAAATATTCAAGCTATCGAAAATATAGATATCAATTTCCTCCAACTGCATATATGGATAAGCAATTTCAAAAAAAAAAATTTCTATGCTCATAAAAAGAAAACATATGTTTAGTAATAAATTTATTGACTGTTGAGGTCTTTCAAAAATTATTATTTATGTTATTGATATCTGGTAAAGGTGTTGATATGTAATTACTTAACATTCCATTATGCGATTGCAGTCTCTATCGGATGTAAGTGATAATTAGTTGAAAAAAATTGAAAGAAACTTTTTTTGACACATTTTTATTTTGAATAATTATCCTCAATATGATGTCTATTGGTTGGTTGCGGGTCATACGAGTTATTTCTCATGTAGCTTAAGCAATTAGTAACTTGAGTACTAGACATATGTCACGTATTTTAAAGTTATAAACCAGCCAGCTTGGTTATATTGAGAATGTTATTAAGAAGAAAAAAGAACTTTTAGAAAATGGGCAAAAAACTTAAGTCATCCATTATATGAAGCTATGGGACATAATAAGTCTGCACCACACTTCATACTAGCTTCAAGTCTGCCATAAAAGTGCTCTAAACCGGTGCTTCAACCATATCCAACAATTATAATTCACTATAAAAATTAAAACTAGAATATTTCAAGCAAAAATTAATAACAATGACTTTCTAAACTATAAACACAAACAATACAAATTGCAACAGGTTGTTTGACAAGATTTTGTCATACATGGCTGAGGGATAGGAAAATGTTTAAGGTTGCTTGAATTCAATTTCAAGTTGTGCTCATAGTGTTTGCCTTTAGTGAAATTTTTCTAATATTTTGAAATTAAAAAGCTATAATAATTCACTGAAGTGAATAATTAATTTCGGTTGCGAGCCCTTGACTTTATAACGAACTATGAATGTTAATTTCATATTTACTGTTCATTTGATTTCTTCATTATTATTCTGCATTTTTGTCACTGCATTTCCTAGAAAGTAA